AAAAAAAAAAAAAAAAAAAAAGAGGTGAATTCTGACTCCAAAAGTCACACAGATCTCAAATGGGGAGATTGCAATGGAAGAAGCTGTACTTCCAAGGGAGGAAATGAAGGAGAGTCCCTGAAGGTGAAATTGGACCCACCGAGCCTGGAAGCTGACGTCTCCCTCCCGCCTGACAACCTGATTTGACCTTGCAGGCTCCTTCCTTCCTCCACGGCCGGGCCACGTGGAAGGACAAGGCTGGCATGAATCACCCGGCAGCCAGGCACCACTTGCTATTTTAGTCACTGACTCAGACTTTGTCAGAGCTCCGGTCCGGGTGGCAGCTGCGGCGGCCCTGAAGTGAAACCCGGGGAGCAGAGTTCTGAGATGAGATTCTGGGGTGGGGTGGGGCTGTTCCCCACAGAGCGCTTCCGTCCATCCAGGCCGGAACCAGCTGCAAATACCTGAGCAGGGGGGCAGTGAACTGGCTATTTCATTTGGCCAACATTCATCTAGCACCTACCGTGTGCTGGAAATTATCCCAGACACTGGGACACTTCCCAGAAGTGATTAGTCACTTGCTGTCATTTCCGTAGGGGAGCAGAGGAAGGAATAGTAAACAAGTTATCAAAGAAGGAAGCAAAAGAGTGTCAGTAAGGGAAGAGGCTTCAGGCCGGCGGCAGAGGCTCACACCTGTAATCCCAGCACTTTGGGAGGCCAAGGCGGGTGGATCACCTGCGGTCAGGAGTTCGAGACCAGCCTGGCCATCATGGTGAAACCCCGTCTTTACTAAAAATACAAAAATTAGCTGGGTGTAGTGGCAGGTGCCTGTAGTCCCAGCTATTTGGGAAACTGAGGCAGGGGAATTGCTTGAACCCGGGAGGTGGAGGTTGCAGTGAGCCACGATCGCGCCATTGCACTCCAGCCTGGGTGACAGAACAAGACTGCCTCAAAAAAAACAAAAAAAAAAAAGCCAGGTGTGGCAGCTCACACATGTAATCCCAGCACTTTGGGAGGCCAAGGTAGGCGGATCACAAGATCAGGAGATCGAGACCATCGTGGCTAACACAGTGAAACCGTGTCTCTACTAAAAACACACACACACACACACACACACACACACACACACATTACCCAGGTGTGGTGGTGGTGGAGGCTGAGGCAGGAGAATCGCTTGAACCCAGGAGGCAGGGGTTGCAATGAGCCAAGATCGCGCCACTGCACTCCAGCCTGGGCGACAAAGTGAGACACAGTCTCATTAAAAAAAAAGGAAAAAGCCGGGCGCGGTGGCTCAAGCCTGTAATCCCAGCACTTTGGGAGGCCGAGGCGGGTGGATCACAAGGTCAAGAGATCGAGACCATCCTGGTCAACACGGTGAAACCCCGTCT